AAGTGTCCTTTTACAAATTTTAAAACGCTCACTATGTGTGTACAACCATGGATTAAAGAAACAGTGAAGCCCTGGCCAGGTGGCACAGTTGATTGGGCATTGTCCTGTACACTGAAAGTTGGCAGGTTTGATTCCCGGTTAGGGCACACACTCAGGTTGTGGGTTTGACCCCTGGTTTAGGTGTGTAAGGGAGGCAGCCAATGAAGTTTCTCTCCCTCCCTCCCTCCCACCATCTCTCACTCTTTCTCTCTCTCCCTCTCCCTTTCTGTCTCTGGAAAAAATAAAAATAAAAACATCTTGCCCTGGCCGGTGTGGCTCAGTTGGTTGAGCATCATACTGTGCTGGTTTGATCCCCGTGAGGTGCATGCAGGAGGCAGCCATTAAATGTAGTGCTCTCACATTGATGTTTCTCTCCCTCTCCGTTCCTCTCTCTCTAAAAAAAACAAAAAAACATGGCTTGGTGAATTTCAGGCCAGAAAAAAACAAACCCATATATCTTGGGGTGTGGATTAAAGAAATAGCGTGCACCTGTGTGAGTGAAAGGCCTTTGTGGGGGAGTCCCTCTCGAAAAGATCAACTCCCAAGGCGTGGCTTTCCTTCCCTTGGCTCCTGAGTTCTGTCTCTTGGTGTTCCTTATTCCCTGAGCACGTGGGAGCGTGCCCTGCTCCATTCCCCTGGGCCTCACCTGGGAAGCTGTAGCTTTCATCAGGGAGCAGTGGTGTGGTGCCAGGAGCCAGGTGGCTTCACCACAGCCTGGCTGTGTGACCTCCAGGGTGACTGTGCACCTCAGTTTCCACATCAGAAACATGCCCATTCCTCCACTGCTCTTAAGAGAGATGGAATGAGGTGGTTTCTGTGGAGCTGTTATAGTTCTCATGTCTCTTGGCGGGAAGGAGGTTGGTTCCCCTGGGAGCTTCCTTTTGAGGAAGGCACATCAGCTCCAACTCTGGGTGGGAGCTCCCCTCTGCCCCAGACACCATGTTGCAAACCCTTGAGGAATATCCTGGACCAAGGCCCTTGCTTTTTCTCTGAATTCTGAGTGCTGCAACCTTGCAACCTCAGTCCAGTTGGAACAGGATGGGGAGCTTGTCAGGCGTTGGGAGAGCCCCAGTTACCCCCATCCAACCTTCTGTATCCCTGAGGGTTCCTAGGATCCCTGGGAGGCTGGGCAGCTGAGTCAAGGTGGATGGGATAGGTCCAGGTCCCACTCAGTATAGTTAACATTTCTTGAGTTGAGCACTTTCTATGTATGCGGTGCTTTGCACATGCAGCTCACCAGTATCTCAGTGTCCCCAGCCTACCGCAGAGAGGGGCGGACTGGGAGGGTGAGCTTGCCTGGTGGCAGAGTTACCGTTTGAGCCCCAGCCTGTGTGGCTCTGGGTCCCATGCTCCTGATCAGCAACTCTGCAGCCCTGAGAGGTAGCTCCAGAGGAGTCCCTTGGAGCTGCTTCCAGAGCTCCTGTGGTGTGGATGCGTGTTTATTTATTCAGGCTACTGTTTGTTTTTGTTTGTTTTTTTTTTAAACTAGGCAAGGGATTCTTTCTTTTTTTTAATATACTTTATTGATTTTTTAAAAATATATTTTATTGATTTTTTACAGAGAGGAAGGGAGAGGGATAAAGAGTTAGAAACATTGATGAGAGAGAAACATTGATCAGCTGCCTCCTGCACACCCCCCACTGGGGATGTGCCCGCAACCAAGGTACATGCCCTTGACTGGAATCGAACCTGGGACCCTTCAGTCTGAAGGCTGACGCTCTATCTACTGAGCCAAACCGGTCAGGGCTATTCAGGCTACTGTTGATGGGCTGTCAGTGTTCTCCCTTATAAACAAAGACAAGAGTGTGCTATGTATCTTAGTCTGCAACTTGCTGCTTTTCATGTGACAGTCTCTGTGTATGAGATATATACATTTTAAAAAATATATATCAACATATCTCTTAGGAGATCGGTGATTTTTTAAAATCCATTGTTAATTTTCTAAGAAAACAGTTATGATCTGATAAAGTAAATTATTTTTCAAAATACAGGAATATTAATGTAGGCACAGGAATTATATTGTAATTGGTTCCAAAGAGGGCACAGGGTAAAACAAGTTGAGAAATGCCTGCCTGAGGCATTGGGTCAGGAAAGAAAGTTAGTACTGCTCTCTCTAATTCTGCACTGGGCCTCAGTGTGCTCCATCGGGTGTGCACGGGCCTCAGTGTGCTCCATCGGGTGTGCACAGGCGATGGTGTGCTCCATCAGGGTGTGCACGGGCCTCAGTGTGCTCTTTTGGGATGTGCATGGGCCTTGGTGTGCTCCACCTGGGTGTGTACAGGCCTTGGTGTGCTCTATCAGGGTGTGCACGGGCCTCAGTGTGCTC